TCTGTCTGTCTGTCTGTCTGTCTGTCTGTCTGTCTGTCTGTCTCTCTCAACCCACCATATTTCCATCTACATTGTTCACACATTTGCGTTATAATATTACTGTAAAATATTTCCATTTTGTGTCAGAATTCTAAGCAACAACCAAAATAAACAACAAAACAAAACAAAACAAAACAAAACAAAACAAAACAAAACCACCAAAACAACAAACAAACCCTAGAAGCAAAACCAAACCCAAAATCTTATGAAGGGAAAATTGCGTGGTGTGTTTATACATGTATGTACAGATGGTCGCTTTTAAGGACAAGGGGGCTATCCCGAAAAATGCTGTTTTGAGAAAATCGAAGTTTAAGTTTTTGCCCCTTGTTCAGTTTCTTTAGAAGACAAGGAGAGCTTTCTCTAAAACCAAACAAATATACACACCAATGAAACCAAATTTCTCCTATAGGTAGGACAATGTCCACTCTTGGTGTAGGTCAAGATTTCTGGAATCCCCCCCAAAAACTGGGTTAGCCCTTTTGTCCTTAAAAGCAACCAAATCAGGAAGGCACATGCTCAGTTGGCGTCATGCAGGGCTAGAGTACGGTTGTTCCTGGTTCGAATCTAATGTAACATGCTTCAGCAAGGGCTGTTCAGGGAGTTTTTCAGAATACCCCACTCAATAGACTAGGCCGTATCGAAGATATAGAGTAAATTCGGAGACCAAGCCTTTATAATAATCTATTGGTAATGAGAATCATTCCACTCGCACAATAATTATTACATAATAATAAATGTTTTTAAAAAAACGTGTCCATCTTTTGCAGTTCTTAAGTGGTTGGCAGCAGAGTATTGCAGATACAATAACAGTCCAACCCCCTACCCTTTCCACACACACACACACACACACACACACACACACAGCGGCTACTCCTTCTCCACCGCCCCATCTTATTACTTCCCGCTTTCCTCCTCCTCTTCCCACCCACCTCCCCATTATTCCCATCTTATTCCTTCACCCTCTACTCCCCCTCCTCCCCCATTCCTTATCTCTATCTTATTTCTACCTCATCTCTTTCTCCATCTCATCTTTCCACCTCATCACTATCCTCATTTAATTCCATTCTTTCTTCCACATCTCTCCTCCCCCTCTCTCTACCTACTCCTCATCCCCA